TTTAAAGCATTTTTTCCTGATCTCTTCCTTATCCTTCTGCTCTCCCCTACCCCTTCTCTCCCAGTGCTTGTGTAGGAGAGGCAGATTTTTATCTCTACCCTGTTAGGGTCTCTGGCTGGGCCTGAGAACTCAGTTGACATAAGATAGATTAACAAAAGAGAAGCTTACAGATTTTTACACGTAGATAGGAGCCCTTGCACGAAAATGAAGATCCAAAGAAGTAGCAGTATGTAAATGCATATTTAGTAGGTTCAACAGAATGGCAGTTGTGGAAAAGTAACCAAAAATGTTTGGGGAGGCTAAAGGAAGATAAGTGTTATTTTAAAAAGATCTGTTTATACAGATTTTTCTCAGCTTGGATGTCCCCCCACCCCCCAATCTCTGGTAACAAGAAAGCTTCTTCTCTCCTACTACAAGGAGGACATCTTCCACATAGGAATTTTCTCCCTTCTCTGGATCTCTCTGGTGATAATTTTTCTTTTCTCCTGGTACTGGAAGGGCAGAGTGTCCCTTTTGTATCTGCTGTTTTTCAAGTGCCTTTAGCTTAAAATAGCCCTATAGCAAAGTGGCATATTTTGGGGTGGAATATTCTGCCACCCTTCATTCATGTGCTAAATGTTTCCCCTGCAACGTATGGAGCACAGTCATCTTATTTTCAAAAAACAGTGCCAGTAGTTCTGATGGACAGTTTCTCTTTGGAACCACTAGCCTATATCATGGTAGATTCAGCAGCTTTTGAAAATTGCTGTTCATTGATCCCAACAAGTTGTTTTATAAACCAGACGGTTTTCCTCCATGTATTATAGCAATACTATAGAGATTGCCCAAGTTTCTTTAAGGAAATTATTATTTATTTTTTTTAAGAGATAGAGCCTTGCTTTGTCAGTGAGGCTGGAGTGTAGTAGTGCGATCATAGCTCACTATAACCCCAAACTCTTGCGCTCAAGCAATCTTCTTTCCTCAGCCTACTGAATAGCTGGGGCTATAGGTTTGTGCCACCAGGCCTGGCTAATTTTTTAAAAAAAATTTGTAGAGACAAGTGTCTCACTATGTTGCCTAGGCTAGTCTCAAACTTCTTGCTTTGAGCAATCCTCTGGCCTCGGCTTCCCTATTTGCTGGGATTACAGATATGAGCCACTGCAACTGGCTTCAGAAGTTCTTAAATTAGTTGCCACTGGTTGGTTGGTGGTGGTGAATTGGTGGATATATGTACACATACATACATATATATGTAATGTATACAACTCGTCTGAATATTGATAAGATAATTAGTATATAATCAGTCTATTTGTCTTTGATTCTTATTGCTTATAGTGGACAGGTTTTTTCAATTTCCACCCCAGGAAAGTAAATGAAAAGTTAAATGATTATTTTATTTTATTTTATATATAGTAAGCAGTCAATAAATGTTTACAGAGGGAATGAACAAACAGTGGCCTGGTTTATTCTGAATTTGTACCAAAAGGTCTTATAGTAATTTATAAATAAAGATGTATCTTAGAAAAAATAAAGATAATCTTTAGTCTTTGAAAATATAAGTGAATTTTTGAAAATATGAATGCATTATTATATAATAAAAACATTTTATAGACTGTTCATTTCCTTTTGCCTCTTAAACCACCACCTCTAGACACACTCTGATCCTCCCTCTTTTCCACCCTCCCGTAGAGTGGAAAATCTCAGTATTCATTGGAGCTAAGTTGATTGTACTAATGCTGCTAAGACTTCAGCTGGTCTCTTAGAAGCTAATGTCACGGCATGGGATCCATTTGCTCTGTAGCTATTCAGCAGTGCAGTGAGAATGCCTTGATTAATATGCTACATGAAAATAAAATGGATTTGGAAAAAATTATAACATACTCTCATAAATATTAATTCACATTTGTATGGAATTACACATAATTTTCAATATACTTTGGAAGCACCTTCAGTATGAAAGACTTGGTCTCCAAAGAGAATGGCATAATTTTTTTAAAAGCATAGTTGATATATTACTAAATATCATTTGTTTATTAATATGATACTCTACATGCATATGATCCAGGACAGTAGGTGGGTTGTCTGACAAGAAAAGGAGTTTTTTACCCTGTGGGGAGTTTTTATATTACCCTTAAAAGTGGTACAATATAATCACATTATATAGATGCAACCCAACATGGAACTCACCTGACTCCTTCTGCTAGCATTGGCATTATTCCTGAATATCTTTTCATGATAGCTGACTATTTTGGTTAAATGTGAGAGTGAACACAGAACATTTTTGAGTTGAACAGATGTGACATAGCTGTTAACATAGCTGACTAAAGTAGTGGACACTGGACAAAGGAATTCAGCATACATTTATTGAACATTTACCATGTATTAGGCATAATGTGCAAGGTCTGGGATTGTGGAATCAATGGCCATGTGAACTTTCTTTGATCTCAGCTTGTCCCCTAAAACACTTCTTACCATAGCCTCATTACCTCAGGAGATGGCAAAGGGTAATCTGTAGTGGTAGAAACTAAAAGTTAGACCAGAAGCTATTCATTTGCCTTATAAGACTTATCTTTGATATCTTCTTGCTCTAAGGATAAGGCCTTTCCACTTTTCTGGGGCTTCTTGCTGTTTGCCATGATCCTCCTTCTTCTTTACCAACAGAGCCCACTAGATTTCCTGTTTCCTGCTTCTGTCAGCTTTTCTAGCTTGCTACACTATGTAGTAGAGGCAGCTTAGGATATTTTTAAATCACATTGTCCTTCATAGGTTTGGATGTTTTGTCTAGTTGTCTCATTTATTTATGTATTTAGTAATCTGTATATTGACTACCCACTATTTGCCTGGCTTATATGAAGTACTTATGTGAAGCACTGGGGTTACTGAGATGAACTACTTAGTCCCTGCCCTGTTTCACATTCTTTCAAGAGTTTATGCTACTAGCTGCCTGAAGGCCTTTGCACAAGCTGTTTTCTTTGCTCGGATCTAGGTCAAATGGCAGTCATTTCCTCAGCTCCACCCCTCTCCTCTGGACTAGATAATTTCCCCCAGTTTTAGTACCCTTTACCTTCCTTTAGAGCAGTTAATTCAGTTTACAATTATATATTTGTGTGATTTGATTAACATTTGTCCCATAAGTTCTGGGTTTTGTAAGGATGGGGATTTTTTCTTACACCATTACCTTCCCAGTACCTATACAGGTCTGTGGTAAGATTGTACTTGTCATATACTGGGTGTACAAAAAATATTTGTTGAAGGAGTGAAGGCCTGAGAACAGAGTGCTTTACGTTACAAGAAGGGTCTTCTTAGTGGGCAGCACTGTTGAAAGTTCTTAAACTAGAAAAACAAGGAACATCTAAGGGAGGGCTTTCGAGGCCAAGGCAAAACAGTATAAAGGCATATCTTAGTTTGTTCAGGCTGCTATAACAAAATAACTTAAATTAGGGTAGCTTATAAACAAGAAATGTTTATTTTCACAGTTCTGGAGGCTGGGAAGTCCAAGATCAAAGTGCCAATAGATGTGGCATCTGGTGAGGGCCCATTCCTCCAAGATGGCATCTTCTAGCTGTGTTCTCACATGGTAGAGGGGCAAACAAGCTTCCTTAAGCTCTTTATAAAGGCCTTAACTCTGTCATGAGGCCTCCATACTTATGACCTAGTCACCTCCCAAAGGCCCCACCTGCAAATATCATCACCTTGGGGATTAGGAGTTCAACATATAAATCTGGGGGAGACACAAGCATTCAGACCACAGCAAGGCCAAAAATCTCAAATTAATGGGCTTGGCTTATTTGGGGGAAGACATCAAGAGAGGCCCATGTATATCAAGTGTGGTGTTCTGGGATATTGGGAAGGAGCAGAATAGATAACCACCTTGAGAATATTGAATGTAGAAAGAGAGTGGTATTTTGAGAAAGAGAAATGGGTAAAAGGAAATTTTTATTTTTAAATGTGCATTTAGAACCACAGAAACTGAGAAACTGGAGGTGGGAGTGACGCTCCATGAAGGAGCATTTTTTGTGTACAGAGGATCATATCCACTCATTTATAGATAATTGAATGCCAGATCATTTTCATTTTAGTGCTTAGTGTGTACAACATTTCTTAGGGTCAAAGGACATCTGTATATATCAGGTCATTTAATGATCTGTGAGCTCATTTTGCAAATGAGCTCAGAGTTGCAGTGACTTACTCCAAATCTTGTAATGAATAATGTCAGTGTCTTGACATTTAAAAACCCGGTTCTTTTAGTATCTTGCTGTTTCCTGAACTGCCTTCAGGCGTGGAACTCTACCAGGTCACATGGCCTGAAATGCTTACCTATAGTTTCTATAGATGCAGCTCTCTCCATTCAGTGATGTTGGCTGATTACCCCTTTGCTACCACTTCCCTCATTCTCAACCACACATAGGAATACGTGAAAAGTTTCTATTGATTTTGGTAATAATATTGTTGTTAAATTTTGCAAAGATGGAAATTAAGGATGCTCATAACAACATGTGGTAAAAATATAATGCACTAAGCAAATATTTTAATCATATTAATTGAAAGTTTCTTTCTTGTTGGCTCACATCCATGTGGCCCTGATATGTTCAGTTTTGTGCCATTTCTTTTTGAATCTAGCATGCACTTAGCACTCTTTTTTTGAAACATAGCACTCTTTTTTTGATGCACCAACTTGGGAAATGAGTATATTGCGCTTCCTTGTTGAATGTCATTGTATGTTGGACCCAGCACTGAATCAAACAGAAAGCCACTATTCCAGGCAGCAGTAAAATCACTTTTAATGACAGATATTAGTGTTATGTTGAGTTTTTTGTCCAAAAGGAATAGAAAGAATATGTTTGTGGTGACATTAGGGATTCAGAAAAATTGAGAGCCATGTTTCTTAGTTTTAGGTATTCTCACATCCCACTTTCCTGTCCCCTTCTCCTTTCTAGTAACCCTAGTTAGCTTGTATTTTAAATATGACCCTAGATACCTATATAACCACCACTTCCTTTTCCTTCTCTTCTCTTCTATAGAAAGATGTAGCACTTAAGCCTCAGGAACGTGTGGAGAAACGCCAGACCCCTTTGACCAAGAAGAAACGAGAAGCACTTACCAATGGCTTGTCCTTTCATTCAAAGAAGAGTAGACTTAGCCACCCACACCACTACAGCTCAGATCGAGAAAATGACCGCAATCTCTGCCAGCACCTCAGGAAGAGAAAGAAAATGCCGAAAGGACTCAGACAGGTGAGGAAGCTTGGTTTGTTCTTTTCTATGGCTGCAAAATCCCTTTCTTAGGTGCCTGCTCCTCTGTAGTTCTTCCTGACAGGTGGACAAGATTTGCTTGGTGGGATGCTGGAGTGGCTACCCTGCATGGCTGTGTACTTGGCTTCTAAAAGAATATAAAACCCAATCGCAGTTATGAAACCCAGTCTCAGTGTTACTAGGATTTGAAACTTCAGCGTGATATCCTTTTAGTCATATGTGCTCTGTGCAACAAAACTTGATGCTGGTGTTACTAGTTTTCAGGGCAGACTGAAGTCTTAATAATTATCAAGATGGGCTGGCTTATAGGGGAGAGATCTTCATAATTAGGACAAATGGAACAGGCAGATTCGTTCACATATATTATGCATCTCATGGTTCTGAAGTGCTAAAAATGGTTGTCTGTAGGTGAACAGTGCCTTACATGGGATTTGTATTTTCCAGGGAAGCTCAAATATTGTGGCATGTGGGAGCGTAGTGGCAAAAAAATGAATTTGCCTTTCAGTGCCTTAGTTTTCTCTATAGCCCATAATTCAAGACTATCTTTGTGATTTGCTGGTTGTATGAAAGTCTCGTAGTGTTGCTTACTGGCCTGTTAATAATTAGATTTCAATGATCCACAAGAAAATATAGCTCTTGGCATTTCGGAAGCTCTCTGCCTGTGGAAATCCCCATATGAGTTGGATTAATAATGAGAAATGAAGCTGTTTATAGCAAATTTTCTGCACAAATCCAAAAGCTTTAGTGCCTGTGGAGTTACCTGTGTCCTGGGTGTGTTTTGTTTGTTTTTGGCAGCACTATTGGGTAAGATTGATTATAACTTGAAGGAAGTAGAGAAGGAATTGTGGTTTACAAAGCAGATATTGCTAATTAGACGCTGAACAGCTAATTTCTAGTTTGCAGATGTTTTTCTGCAAAGGGGGATGATCTGGGATCATACAAAACAGTTGTTCCCAAACCTCCTGGACCTTTAAAGTCATATCATGAGCCTTACTAAATATAGATTCCTGGTCCCTTCCTAGGACTTAATGAAATTTTTACTTTTAGGAAGTTTCTTATTTGATAATGATCAGCCTGGTAGGAATTCAACTCTTATAAAGAATCAAGAATGTTATTTTGGGTGATTTTTTTAGTTAAAAGATTGGAAGGATCAAAAGCCTCAGTAAGATGTAGTGGGAAGTTTGGTATTAGAATTCTGCCTGATGGGTAGTAAAGGGGGCTATGGGCTGACAAAACACCTGAAGCTATGGATTTCAGGGTAATTCCCCAAATCTGACACCCAGCACAGTATTTCTGAAGGTACACATGTGTCCTAAAATGCCAGATTTGAGTTATAATAGTAATTATTAATATTTACCTAATGTATACCATGCTATGGTGATTCAGTGGGGAAGTTTGTGTAGTATAACTTGTAACTTGCACAATGACCTGCCTTGTAAGTAATACCATGGCTACTTTCCAGATGTGGAAACTGGGGCTCATAGAGATGAAGTGACTTGTCTGAGGTCACTTAGCAGTGAGAGACAGAGCCAGCATTTAGGCGTAGGTATCTCTGGCTCCACAGCTTTCTGTTTTCCCTGTACGTTGATTCTGCTTCCTTTGTTTGAGATAAGGATTGGTCATGAAGAGAAAGCGAAGTCCAAGTCAGAGGACGAAGGTAGTCTACAAGTATTTCTAGAAAGTACATGAGTAGTTTGGTCATATAGAGTGACTGTCATCATAAAAATGGCCTATGAAAACAGAAGAAACAGGATAAATAAGTTCAGACAACAGAGAAAGAGCTAGAAAGTTTGAAAACCCATATTTGAATAAAAAATTTTTTTGTGTGTGACAGGGAGTTGGGGAGAGGGAGGAAAGGCTAGGCTTTATAAAAGGTGATGGTTCTGTGGTATTTGTGACTCCTAACTCATGCTTCTCTGTGTGAAATATGTGAGAAAAGTAATTATTCCCAGTAGAAAGAGATTGCAAGGTAACCACCCACCTTTTCCCCAGGCCCTCCCTTCAGGCAAGGTTAAGAGAAGTCTTCCTTACCCTTTCAGGCAAGAAACCAATTTAATTCTGAGCCAACACTAAGCTGTGGATCCTCATCCTTGAATCTCTTTCTCCTAGACATGATTGGACTTTTCTATTCTCTGTTCTCAGAATTCTTCTTTATACTTCTTTCTACTCTAAGAGTTTTAGCATCCTCCTGTGAAGGAGTATATGATCATGAAAGAAATCTAGGACTTAGCATCTTAAATTTGACTAGCTTTTAGTCTTAGGGGTCAACCTTTTGATACTGATGATATTTGAAATCAAAGCTATCTTTGTTTTAGGCAAAATATTTGAAAAGCAATTATTTTGACTCTTTATGAATCATGGAAAAGGAAAGAATGAATCATCTTTGGCCCTATGTAAAGGTTTTAAAAAAAAGTGGTGTTTTTTTATCTTCAGTGTTGATGCCAAAATATACATTCTAATCAAGTGTTCTGTTTCTAGTAAGGTGGGAAGCAGAAGTTGATAATTGAGGTAAGGTTATGATACTTTTTTCATTTGTAATATTCTTAGAATCACAGTGCTATTATGAAACCCCAGACAAATGTGGGGTTTAGACTAGAACATTTCTTAGGCTTCTCTGTCTGAGGTATATGTTTCTTAAATTTATGAATAACACAGAAGAATATAGTGTTGTAGAGGTTTGTGAAGGAGTCTGTAGGTCTGAAGATAATTTTGTTTTGGAGTCTATCAGTCTGTAACTGATAGGCCTCTCCTTTAAATGTCTTCACAGAGCCTAAGATGCATTTGTAGTGGGAGGGAGAGGCGTGGTCCATTGTGTGTCAGCCCAGACAAGTGCCATCTGTTGTGTGATCATTGGTAAAAGATGATACACAAGTGTTTAATGGCCACAGTGGATGTTCAAAAGCTTTTCCTAAGAATAATTGAGATTGCTTTCCTATCTTGCTAGATGCTTATGCACATCACAATTACTTTTTCTCATACCTTTGCCTCTTATCAGATAAGAAAACTGAATCTGACCATCTTATCTGGGAGGGGACCTTGACATGTGAGTGAGCCTTGAGGAGCATTTCTCAATTAATGGATTATCATTTAGTACCTCTAATTGAGAACTACAGCTGAAATAGGGAGGAGGTGAGAACTTAATCTTTATTTCTGACTTGGTTGGAGTAAATTAGGTTTGCATATTATTAGGAAATGGTACTTCCTGAGAAGACAATTTAATGCACAGCTTTCCTGTAATTATGGGAAGATCTTACTCCTTTGTAGAGAGGAAATAATAGGTTTTTTTTTTCCTAAGAATCTGTCGAAGGCAACTAATCTTTTTACTCTGAGAGTGCAATTATATACTTTTAATAGAAAGTTGTATAGTTCTAAAGCCAAACTGATTTTTCCTTTACTTTGCCTGATTATAAAACCTTGCTTCTTGTGATGTTTTTCCATACTGTGAAAAGAAAGCATTTTAACTGGCACTTAACTTACTTGTTGGATTATATTTTTAAGTATAAATACATAGCTGACTTAGAAGATGCTGAGCTGGCAACTGTCTTGGTAAATGGTTGCACGTTTCGATATGGCATATTTGAACACTCTCCTTAATTCCCAAAGGGGTTGAAAAAGTGATGAAGAAAGGAGCAAGTTATATGTTATATAGAATAATGCATATCTTCTGACCTACCTAGGCTTATATTTGTCCTATACAGAACTATTTGCTCATGATGTGAGAACTTAAGACATTATATTAAAAAGTTTTAGCTTTTTAAAGGCATGGTAGATTTTTTTAATTCTCTACTTAGACTTAGGTGTAGGAATATTAAAACCAAGGTTGCACAGATCTCTGTAAAAGTTGCACAGGTCCTCTCTGTAAGGATCTTTATTCTCTAATTGAGAGACTAAGTCACAGTGAAAGCACTGAGGAACACAAGGAAGTCATATTTTGCCAAACCTATTAGCCAAATTATCACTTCCTGAGAAGCATTTTGGGAAAACTTAACCCTTCCTAGGGCATTGAGTTTAGTTTTATTTCAGTATGTCTAACTTCTAGACCATAGGGGATGCTTTAAAAATTTAGTACTTTGTTGTTTAAAACACAGAAAGAGCAAAAAGGCTTTTAAAAATAGAGTAGCAAGAATGAAAAGTTGATGAGAGTTCAGAGAACTCTTGGATTTGGCTCTGACTGGTTTTCTTAATCTCCGTTTAGTCCATTAGTCTGTCCTTTCTTTCTAGCATGAACTGAGCCAGAGGAAATAGGCTTAAGTGAGCTAGAAGGCATTTTTAGGTTATAAGAACTCTTCTGACAGATATTGTGTTGGATCATCACAGTAAATCCTGGCATCTTCCTCTTTAACTGAGTTTTAGGCACCTAGTAGCCATTTATCTAATAGCAGAATTTCTCAGAGAAAGAGGCAACCTATTGAGATTGCTTCTGGTCATAGGAGAACACCATTTGAGAGGAAAATAAAGAAATTTGGTTAGAATCTACCGTAGCCAATAGACTCTAACCTTGCTGGTGAAGATGGCTTAAGTAGGAATGCTCTCTATATGGTTTAATCATCTGTATTCAAGTTGATCTGGGTAGGTATTTCTTATAGGGAATGGAAATTTGCTACTGTCTCTTGAAAGTGTGGTAGGAGATTTATAGTTGACATTATAAAATATAGATACCAAAAATGTCTACTGATTTCTGGGAAAAGAGAGATTGATCCCAGTACCAAGAATTTAAAATCAGAGTTATTACTAGAACTGTGTATGGCGGTTGCATCTGCTTTGTGTGTTGACATTGTATGTTGGCCTTATTTGAAGTGATTGTAGTGGTATAGAAGGGCCCAGGTGACTAAGCCACCAGCTGTGTTTCCACCTAGCCGGATGGAGCAGTATATTCCAGCCTATGCTTTTTCCTGTTGAGAACATTTGCTACCAGGGGCTGGTGCTTTCTTTTAGTGAGATTTAATCATATTGTCTGAGAAGCTTTTTGTGACATTTGTTAC